AGCTGCTGCTCCGGCTGTCCAGCGAGGTATCGCTCTCAGGGGCCTGGGGAGCAGGGACATGAAAATAAACCACAATTAACCACAATTACAGAAAAAGGGGAAAAACTCCAATTCCTCTCTCTCCTCTACTGAGGAGGGCAGCTATAAACCACCTGAACAATGCTACAAAGCACCAGCCATTCGGTTTGCCCAGGGAAATCCCTTCTGGAGGAGGAAAGGTTTCGATATTTTGAGCGCTGATTTCATTCTGCTCCAGGATTAATCTTCTCCTCCCACGTGAAATGCTCCACCAAAGGGAAGGGGTGCTGGGTCTGTGAGCTCTGCAGCCCCTGCTGCCAGCACGCCCCTGCCCACTGGCAGTCCAGAGCTGAGATTCCCTGTGGATCCCTGCTCTTGTCTTCCCTGTGAACCTGCCGCACTGGCTGTGGACACATCAAAACGATCAGCTGGCCAGAAATCAGGGGACTTCTGTACATAGACCTCCTCTCATTAAAAAATCAGCAATGTTTGGGGAGAGAAAACAGGCATCACAGTTCTTTTGACCAGCGCTAGTGGCAATGACAGTATTTAGGGCAGAAAGGTGGGATCCCCTTCCAGCAGGAAGGGGAAACAGCCTTAATTTCCATGTATCAGTGCTCAGTTAGTTAAGCTGCATTTCAGTTGTTCCTAGGAAATTGGTCTGCGCTATGAGATCATCACTGGGACGCAGCACTGGGAATGACGGATGTAGGACTGGAAGCAGTCTCCTGAACCATAGCTATTCAATACAGTCTGCATCACATAATCAGAAGTTTACCAGTTACTCCTTTACAACAGTTCAGTACTTTTGCCCCAGTGGTATGCCAACTCCAGAGCTTTTTCTCTTCACGTCTAAACTTATACCAGAAGTTTCAACAACTCAGCAGCCTCAGCTCGAGGGTAAATTTATCCCTGGTGAATTTATACACATTTGTATTGTGCCAACAGTGTCTGTCACATAGAACTGGATAACTTATGATCTTATTTTTATTTTTCAGTTTATCTGGAATGGAGTGTCCCTGTACTCCTCAAACAGGAATTGTTCATGGAGTATCTTCCAAGAACAATAACAGGGCTCTCCATTGAACTTTTATCTCTGCCTCCTCTGCTCTTCAGAGAGACTTGATCTTCCCTCAACACTTTTATTCTTCTCTTTCATTAGTGAGAAATAGCTGCCTTTTCAGAAAGAGATAGCACCTTTCTGGGATGTAAGAGCTAAGTGGGTGGGGTACAACAGCGAGCTCAGGGACGAGGTGTGTGGATGTGGCATGAAGGGCTGTGGAGGAAGTAGGCAGGGAGAAGCCTGTTCCAACCAAAGCAGGTGTGTGATCCAGAGTCACAGCGTTAAGAGGAGCCGAGGTGGCTGTGCGGCTGCCATCTCCCTGGCTTACACTGTGGCTGCTGTGCATGCAGGTGTCTGCAGCTCACTCGGAGCAGGGGACCCAGGAGTGAGCTAAAAGGTGATGTGATTTTGCCTTCATGTGGGGCTAGCTGCAGCTGTCAAACTATTTCTTGATCCAAAGCAGAAGAATATATGATTTCAGAGAGCTACACAACACCCCTTTGCTATACAACCCTCTTTTCTCCGCAAACTTCCCGCACTCTGCAGCCCACTGTGCTCCTCCAACGGGTTAGATCCAGGTCACCCAGCCCCTGACCACAGCTGCCTCTCTCCTTCCTCTGTCTTCCTCCCTGTTCAGCCCCCTCTGTTTGGGTGTGATGTGAAGCTCAAGCTTTCCTAGCAGAGGGAAGCAGGGGTCCTCACCTGATGGAGAAGTGAACAGTTCACACTCGGAGATCTCAGTGATGCCCATGAGCCTTGCAGAGAGATCTTAGGAAGGTTGCGTGGACATGAGACTTTCTCAGGCCCTGTCTGTGCGGCAGAGATGGCCGGGTGGAAAAATTCTGCTGGTACAGGTAACAGAGGGCAAGACGCACCTGGAGAGAAGGGGCTGGGAGGGACTGACAAAGCACCAAAAGAAATTAGGAGGAGAACAGAAACAGAAAAAAGAAAAAATTTGAAGAGTCCTCTGATTTGATTTGGTGCCTTTGCTGCTGTTACTGCACTGCAAGTGCAGTATATGGAGGATATTTAGTAACGCACACTCCTGGCCAAGAAGACTCAGTCTAATATTCACACCATGGGTCCCACTTTCTACGCAAGGACCAAAACCTGCACCAGACCCAGAAGATCTAACACGGATCAGAGCCATAAAGCAACAGCCCAGCTTGCCTCTCCCGTTGCTGCTCTCACAGAGAAATGCCGAGCCGTAAGGCCTTGATTTAACTATGTATCACTGCCAGAGGACTTTCATCCCAAATCCTGCAAGGCAAGGGATGAAGGGAGATAAATAAACTGGCGGCTTGGGAAACCCAGGGACCACAGAAGGCCAGAGCGTGCTCAAGAGTAGAACTGGAGCACTTCCACCAAGGGCAGACATGTATTACGTGTTCCCTGAACCTGTACCTGAGGAGCCTGGTCTCAGGGGGCAGCAACGTTTTACCATGCCAAGTGAGCACAGTTCATCCAGCTGGCATGTCAGGGGAGGCTGTCCACACTCTTCTCTGACCGTGCATGGGCGCATTGCTGTGAATGGGAATCAGCTCTTTCTCAGTACTTCACAAAAGCAAGTCTGAGGGAGGATATAAGATCTAGCAGCAAAAGAAGGAACTGTTCCTCACCCCATTCCTGAGGATTGGCAAACTGAAAGCTAATTCTTGGTTAGTGTAACCCCACGTCAGATTAACTCCATTCCTGGCAGGAGGGAGGCAGGAGAAAGGCAGAGGAGCTGAACCAACCCACACTTTCAGCAGTCCTGGAGAACGATGAGAGCTGTGCTCACCTTTGGTACTTTCATGCTTTAGCCAAGACCGGACTGAGTTCAAAGAAGTTTTCTCCATTTCACAGAGGTAATTGTCTGGGTTTGTAGAGCCATCCGCACTGGATATTGGGAGCAGGCATTCCCCCAGATCTCCTACCCCACTGGAGTCAGGGCTGTCTTGACCATCCTGCTGGAAAAAATCAGTGAGGACAAAGCCTTGTGAAATTTAATGGCAGATGACAGAGCAGACTTGTCAAAACATCAAGAAGGGCTGATTCTGAAGATACCTTCAAGCTAGCTAGGAGATTCTCAGGTTTCCAGCCCAAATCCCCTGAATTTAGGCTCATTCAGAGGAAGTTACTGACAGTAGTGAAAAGAACTTTCAAAAACATACATCCCTTTTTTCTCCTCAAATCCTTCTCCACGATATGTCTCTATGGAGAAGCTCTTGAAAAGTGACCAGAATTTATATTCCTCAGCAGGGACACTTGGATGAATACAGAGCACTTCACATGAGTAGGGGCAGAAATACAGCGCGTGGTGCAACACGCCCATGACTGTCTGGGGCTAACCTTGATCTCCTGAGGACTCAGCTGAGAAGTGCTGCGATTGTCTGACTCATCTCCTAGAAGTATGGAAGAGGACTTGTCTGAGTTGAGGGATAATGCTTCCATTTCGGCCAGCTGGACCTGCAGGAAGGGAAAGGAGCTGTCACAGGTCATGCCTGGCATCCACATTTCAAGCAGATACACTGTTTATGGTGGATAAGTGAGAGCCTGTAGACCCAAGATCAATTTTAGGTTATATTCCTTGGATACATCAGGTACTGCCTAACCCAGACCTGGGCTGGGCAGGAGAATCCACTTTTTAAGGAAGCTTGAACATACGATCTGCAAGCAGCCCACCGCCAGTCCATGCTCCTCTAGTGCCAGAATTGGAGGAAGGAGTCCTGAATCAGTCCCAGCGATAGAGCTGGCACAAGGCCCTGCAAGTAAAGCAGGCGGGGAGAGGGCTCCCTCAGGCCGGTGACAAGGCAGTCTGCTCTGCTGAGGGATGAGGAGTGGACCCCTCTCTCTGAAGGTGCCACGGACAGCCCTGCTTAAACGTGAAGGTGCTTTCATTCCAGGGATAGTCATGCCTCTTGCAGTCCATGCCAGTATCATGCTTTTCATACTCTCTTACCTTCACCACTGAAACTTGTTTCCTTCCAGCTTCCCTATGTCTTCCCTCTCCCCTCACCTCTAACCTACACAAGACCTCAGCTAACACCATCTCCCATCCTGCTCTCCACCCCTAAACTCACCCCTCCCGCCCACCCACACTTGTGCTCTCTTGCTTTCTGAAACCAAGTCTGACCACTGCATCTTTCTCATCCTTGAGCCTCAGCTCTGCTTCTGTCCCATGCCTGACCTTGCTTCACCTTTTGGCCTGTTTCATACCACATGTGCCCCTCTCCCATCCTCTTTCCTCCAAGCTTTCAATTCCCCTCTGCCTGACATCTCTTTCCCACAATACCTGAAAAGCATCTCATTTTTCTAGCAGCCTAAGCAGCTGCTCTGTCCCTCCTGTGCTTGGCTTTCTCTTGCTGGTCTCTAGAGTCCTACCAGTTTCCACCATCAGCACCTGACTCTTGAGAGCTATATTCTGGGTTGTCTCAGTCAGGACAGGTTGCTTCCTGGCCATTTATCTTGTCCTCCCCTGTCTTTGTGTTTGCAAGAGGTGGGTACAGCTTTTGTGCTATAAGAGCAGGTGGAACATTTGGAGAGATGACTCCTTCGAGCTGGGAGTTTAGTGGCCTGTGCCAATGCCAGAGACGGGAAGAGATCTCCATCCAAGGGATAATGCACTTTGAATAAACAGGACAGAAAACCAGAGCTGGATTTAAATAAAGGGCACAAATAACATCCTTATTTGGGATATTATTCTGACCCAGGAACATGGTGCTGTTCAACCATGAAGAGAGCCCAAAACCAACAGCTGCTGCTCAGAGCGCGGATGCACCAGAGAACCCACAATGAAGTTATGTCAAGCACGCTACACAGCCACCAGTCAGCAACTACTTGTGTAGAGAAACACAGTCTTAATTCAGTCCCACTTAATGTGCGTACTCATCCATTACTTGCCTAAGTGCTTGTTACACCAGAACAGCCTTACAGCTGTGCTTGTAGAGACACGAGCATGACGA